TGCTTTTATGCAATAAAGTAACATAAAATGAGGGGATGGGAGGCAAAAAGCAATACTTTCCTGGAAATCTAATAGAGTGCTTTTTTGCAGGCATTGAAGTGCTATGCAAAAATATGAAATGAATAAACAAATCAAATTAAAAGGCCTAGTAACTGGAGAAATATTGGGCTAAATTTATGCTTTGTGGAACAGCAGCAACACTGATGAAGTACATCAGGGACGGATTTGGCCCACCACGTTTTCAGCATTAATTTGATCAGGAGCAGTGAGTCAACAACGCAGATCCCATGCAGCGAAGAACTTCGCTCTACCACTGCTGCGAGCACCAAGCACAACAGTTTGGATCAGTAAATGGTAAAAATGCAAAAGCTAAACATTTTTGCGAGTGAAAAAAAATAATAGCATTACAGAGCATAAAACGAACAGCAACGTTTGGAACAGAGATGAGGTGGAGGCTAGTTACCTTGAGAAAGACCGTTTTTCCAAGTGGATTCAGTAGCCCTCTCTGCCTGAAGACCAGAGCCAGCTGCCCACAGGCCGCACAGGCGGCCCAGCGCTGCTCCTCGCATGACGCCTCGGGTACCTTCCGAGGCACGCATCGCGACGAGGAGACTCAGCCATACGGTGTCACGCCGTTAACCCCCAGGGAAGGCTGTTGACACCATGGGACAGGCCTACAGCGGTGTGCTGGCCACCTGTGAATGAACCCTGGGCAAACCAAAGCAAGGCAGCTCCTTCCCCCTTCCGTGTGCACGTGAAGGAGAGGGCAGGGAACCCCCTTGGCTGGCCTCTCGCCCAGCTGTTGCCTGCCCAGCAGCAATGCCGGTGTGGAAGCCCACCATGCTGCACCCTTTACCGTCCAGGAAGGGTTCAGAGAACCCGTGCTTGTCCAGCCACCCGCCTGCCTCATCCTCCCAGCCTGTCTGCTGAGACAGGCTAGTGAAGGACTCCCACGACGGTGCTTTTTCCTAGGTATTATCACCTCAGGATGGAAGATACCAACCATTTGGGACTTGTCAGTCCCTACTACCTGCACTGGATCCCGCACGGCCTAGTAGAAAAGCCCTTACATTCCCCACCACCTCCTAACTCGAGCAACTCTCAAGTCTCCACCGAGCATTTCTGAGAAGTTTATGTTGGCCCTTCAACAGCCTTGGGTACTCCGGGCAGAAAGGTGGATAGCGCCTTTCTACCATCAAATACATTAAAACTAGTGGTTCTGTCCCCTGCCAAAAGTGCAGTAATGCAGGCGTGACCTGTACTACGATCCGAAATCAATTACAACCATTAGAAAGAGTAATGGAAAACCCAGTACACGACAATTTCTTTTTTTTTTTTTTTTTGGGGGGGGGAGGCGGGGGGGAGGAACCTGTCACTTGTGATAAAAAAGAGAAACAGATATGGATTTGAAACATTCGTTTCCCTTTATTTGCTCAGTGAGGCTGATGTGTACTGCACATTAAAAAAAAAAAAAAAAATCACAGGAATTTTTCATACAGTGAATTAAACCACAAAAGTACATGTAGAATTGGCAGGTGGAAAACAGCCCAGCTTGGGCTAAACTAGTCTCTCTCGCTTTCCCTGTTCAGCACAGTCCAACCAACAGCTTTACATGTTCACCTACTGTACAAATCTTACAGTAGCTCCATCAGGTCAGTGGTTCACATTATTGAAAATGCCTGTCACACAGGTACAAATTTAGAATCATCACATTGTATTACATGGCTATTCTAGGTCATTTATAGATCAGATCTTGTACTACAGCGATTGAAGTTCTCATTACAGCCATCAAAAAGGACACATAACCATTGCCGACTGTAAGCTTACACCCAAAGGGATGAGCAGGTGTGGTTGGTGGTTTTTTTTTTTTTCAACTGACCCAAGAATTACACCCCAGAGGCACAAACTTTCCTCTCAGTGCTGCTCCTGGCAACAGCAGCCCAACTGCTTTTCAGAGCATTTTAGCACAGGTATTTTTCCTCAATTTAGGCTCCCTCTGTTTGGATTTGGATCATTTTACGTTCTGTAGGAATTACTTTGTTGCAGCTCTAGGAAAGACCACAGTTTCTAAGTACCAGTTCTGTTACCTGTATTGCGGATGTGGTACTTACCACAGCATGAAAGCAACAGTACAATCTTCATCTAAAGGACACGCAGAGCTATGCTGCAATTTGCCTCCGGTGACAATGTGGTACATGTGCTAATTTTCAGTGTTCTTGGGGGAGACAAAAAGAAAAGGAAACACCGAGTTTATATTTTGATGGGTTACCTACTACAGTGTCTACAAAGGATACAAATAGCTTTATCCAGCAATCCTAGCTCTATTAATTTCTACGTAATTTGTAAACCCACAGAGGAAAGCCATCTTCAAGATGAGAATGTTTGCCAGGCCAGTGAAAAAAAAAAAAAAAAAATTGACTCATGTCATTATGCCTGCTTGGTGGAAAAAAAAAATATCCCCTCCCCCCCAAACCCCCACACCAATTTATTCACGTCAGCAATCTAGGGCAAAGGAGAATGTATTTAAAATTTAATCACAGAAATTTAAAGGCAAAATAGGTAATGCATCTGGTCCTTGAACACATAATATGATATACTAAATATTGATTTCTTAAAAATAATTTATTGCTTTTAATATTTTTCTTTACAACAGAAGATACTCAAAATCCAGAAAGGAAAATTGTAAACTTTTAGTTTGGCATTCACACGAAGTTAAAATACCTGCATTTTTAACCTACAGAGCAACAACAAGAATTATGCAGATTAAAGAATGTTACAGTCGTAACAGAGAACCTCGGAAAAAGTTCTTTTTTTAATTTTTTTGATTTATTTTATTGCTATCTATCTACTGAGAAATAAGAAGCCAAAAAATCAAGCAAGCATCGGACAGGACAGACGGTGGAATCTCTCAGAACACAATATGCTGGTGATCAAATGAATGCAGCCATCAAAATCAACTGCACTGGCATGGGGGTGGAATCGGTCTTCTAAGATTGGGAGTGGGAAAGGAGATTAAATAGTTAGGTGTGCCATACCTTTAGGAGGAGTCATGAATGCCAAACAGTAATAGAATACCAAATCTATACATCCGCAAGCAAATCCCAAACTTTGCTGATTCAGTCTAGAGACTCCGAGTTCAGATGACATTCTGATGCTCAGAATAGCAGTAGTTTACTCTTGTGGTTTTTTTCTTTCCTGAAGTTTCTATTTAATTTAGCAGAAGCAATGTCATCAGCAACAATGTCATGGGCACATCTGAGGCCATGCTAGTGCATAGTAAAAAAAGAAGAAAACAAACAACCCACTGCTTCTGCAAAAGCTGAATTTCCAAACAAAGCACTTACTCCAAACTGACAACCGTCATGCATCCTAGGTATAAAATTTCCACTGGCCTTTTTATTATTTTAGTCATCTCATAATTTATAATAAATAGGATAATTGTAACTGATAAATATGTCTCTTTAGTAAACAAAGGAATGAAGGATCGGTATTTATACAGGATGCATAACTGTAAAAAATACAGATAAATACCATCATTAAACTCTGCCAATGAAAAGATTACTGGCTTCAAGAACAGTGTTTAGACACAGAATTACTGTAAAAATCATACTGTACTTAGTACCTCAGCGTATTTTTATCAAATTAAAATCACAAAAATTAAAACAAAATAGCATTTTAAAAAGATTTTTGACCTCTAGTTCCAAAACTACTGTTGATACATAAAATAAAAACATTTCTTAATGATTATCCATTTGAGAGACTTTACATAAAATTATGATATCTCCTAGAAAAATTTAGATGAGAAAAATTTCATTCCCCTAACAAATTCAGTGTATAAAACTGCAAAAGAAAATCAAGCAATGAGAAAAATGTGGAAAAATACTGCAGAAGTGGTTAATACCTTTTGGGCTAGGATAATTCTTGACAAAATTCTTTTGTAAGCTCACCAAAGAAGGGATGAATGTGTGTAAAGCATTTTTGCACTCAGACACACGCGCACACAGACACACATGCACACCCTCACCCACACGCTTTTCTCTTTTTTTTACAATCAAATATATATAAGCGTAAGTTCAGCTTTCTACATATGTTAGTGTACAATAATTGTTTCACGTCTTATAATTACATTTGAGTATTCTTGATTAAGAAAAATTCAGCAGTTTTTGAAAAGAAGGCTGCATTTACAGTGCATAGCTGTAACAAAAAAGAACATCGTCATACAGTATGTACATAAATAAAAATACTCCATTTAACATTTGTAAATACTCAACTACTTTAGAGAATGTAGCAAATAAACTATCTGTGCACACACCCAGATAGTTATATCCAACTCTCATTAATAATGTAACACCACGTCCGCTCATTAGAATAAACCGCTGAACAAGCTGCACATTTGACCATTAACAAGGCTTTGAAAATTTTGCTGTGGAAGATCAACGTTGTAGACATTTACATGGGTGTCAGAATTAAAAGATGAAACTTCAAAATGTTAGGGAAGCTTGAGCCTTTCATTTTCTCTTCTGCACGGACTGAAAAAAAACCCCAAAAACCTACAAAAAGAAAAACCCAAAGAAAAGAAAAATCTTAAACCAAAGCTAAAACAGATTGCAGGCTTCTGGGACCTGTGGTTTCTTCTGGATTGTCATATTATCACCGTGTTGTGAGAAGAAACTTCATTTTAAAAAAAATAATAATGCAGTGTCTGATTCCCAGACATCAGCAGCCATAGTCCTCAATATTTTTTTGTTTGTTTTTGTTCTTTTTTTGTTAAAATGCAATATGTACAGATTTTGCAGTTCATCGTTGCACGTGTATCTCTGTGGAACTGCTGCCACGTCTCGTGGTCTGCGTCGAACTCGCAAGGAACGCCCGGCTCCCCCGCCACCGATCACCCGTGAAAGCAAAGCTGACACCCATGGACACGCGTGTGCTTACTGGACAGCCATCCTGCCTCTCCACTCCTCGAGCAGCTGTGTTCATGTAAACCATGGTTTTGAACAGAGAGTGTAAAGTAGGAGAAATTCCTAAGTATGACGTTTTAATTGTCCATTGTTGAAGGACGTGATGTCCGTGAGGTATTCGCCATCCCTCCGTTTTCCTCAGGTGTGATGCATGTTACCTACGCAGGCTCCGCTGTGCCTCTTTAAGTAAACTATCAAAATCCATGGAGTCGTACTTGCTTTTAGTGGAAGCAGGATCAAAATCATCTGAGTTTGAATCTGAAACCCAAAGGATGCAAGTTTAGGTAAGAGGCAGCAAACTCCAGCGAGTACTTTTATGATCATCTCTGTACAACAGTACGAACAAGGCACTGCAGAAACAATCCACATACAGCCACAACTTTACGGGGCGTAAAAGCCCAGAAGCAGCCAACAGAGAAGTTTTAGGTATGGACAGAGCTTTCTGGTAAGACGCAGGACTTAACGGAAGCCGCACATCTCATCAGCCGTGGGAGAGAACCGTCAATTGGATAGACATAAGGGGGAGGTAAACTCCAAACAGTTTCTCCAAGGATCTGAGCACCGACACACTGCTGTGTATCAATCCTGACACCACCATCCTGGTAGATGCTTTACCCAAACCTCCACCACCATTTTGCAACTGTTGCCTTGCAACACCCAATATCCAGGACTGACTTCTCCCGAGAAAGGTAACGGGGGGGATGGTTCTGCAGAAAGCCAGGGCAGCCTGTGGGCAGCAGAAGGGACACGGCTGCTCCTGCCCACTCTGCCTTGGTGTCTTGTACAAGCCACTGCACCTCCCTGAATCTCTGGTGTTGCTTCCACTCTGGTTTTTCAGAGGTTTGCTTGTTCAGAGCATGACCAGTTCAGGGCAGTGCCTGTGCACCCCTGTACACGCAGTCGCAGGTGGGCTCCTCAGCTTTTTGCAGCAGAGGTGGTAAGTCACAGCAGGAACACCAGTCCAGCTCCTGCGACCTGGGATACCTGCTCCAGCTTGGCCAGTTGCTCAGACACGGGCGTCCCCCTGTTCCTAGCACAGAAGAGGGATTGTACATTTGTGGCCGTACAGCTCCAGTACAGCCATTACTGACGTGGCTGCAAGCACTGAATTTCTTTTTTGGAATCATCCCTGCTTAACACTGACTCTCCCCGGTTCCTGTGTCGCAGCTCCTTTACGAGACTGCCCCTCTCTTGCTGCTTCTTGTGCTGAATTAATCAGAACTCCCCACCTACCGCTGTAAGACACACTGTGCATAAAATGTTCATTACAACTTCTGTTAAGACAATACCCTCTCACAGAGGAGAGGTGTTAAACTTCTACTATTTTCAAGTGTTTTCTTTCTTCTGCACTCAACCCAGGGGTGATTAATTCTCTCTGTCCTTGTACTCGCTCATGAATTTTAAAAGTTCATCCTGCCATTTCCTTATGTAGCTCTATCAGATACTCTGCAAAATACAGGGAATGCAGCCTGAAGTACACAAGCTTAAGCTGTCAGCAGGACAAAGTGAAAATACTCTGCTCACAGATACTCTGGGAATCTCACTCAGTATGGAGAGACCTGCCAGGGAATACTCCCAGTGATGAATAATGTTCAAGAGGGTTCCCTTCAGACAACTTATTTTAAACCCCAGATTTTCTGAGATACAGAGACGACCCTGACTTCCACTGCTACAGATAAGTCAAATCAAGTCAAGACTTCAATCTGTTTTTACTGTTTTTATCAGCCTACATTTCGACAAATGCCTTGCTACCTTTTATATTTCCAACGTCAACCCTATGTCTCTTCAGCAGTCAATTGCCTTTTCTTAGCTTTACATTATCTGTTTAGCCACTGAAGTGAATTACAGCATATTCATTGTGAACAATGCGTATCATCTTTATCATTTATTCTGAAAAGACATCAATTGGTTAGAAAAAATGTATCTGTATTCACTTCCTGCATTGTACAAAGCCGAGGGCAGCACATACAAGATTTCATTAGCACTGTGTTACAGGGTTATGAGAGATTTTAATGACTGTGGTCATTTATTCATAAAAAACGCACAGTATCTGATTAATATAGATTCAATGGCAAAATGTCCCTTGCTATGTTATTCAAAAAAGAGTATCTCACATACTTTTAGTCTATTTATACAGGTATTAGGAAAGGTTTAACATTTAATGAATACTTTACATTTTAAAAGGTAATCAAATAAGAGGTGAGCTTATAATATAATATTACAGGGGATGTTTTGGCAGTCTGCACGGTCTCTTTATGCATATACTTCACATTGTATTGGGAAAAGAACTGTTTAGATCTTTATCAGACACACAGACAGTGGTATCGAGTGCACTCCTGGCAAGTTTGCAGACCACACCAAGCCCAGTGGTGCAGTTGACATGACTGGACAAGATCGAGAAGTGGGTCAGGGCAAACCCCGATATCAGTGCAGGCTGGGGGATGAAGGGATTGAGAGCTACCCTGCCGAGAAGGACTTGGGGGTTCTAGTGGATGGACATGAGCCAGCAGTGTGCGCTGGCAGCCCAGAAAGCCAATCGTATCCTGGGCTGTATGAGGAGAAGTGTGGCCAGCAGGTTGAGGGAGGTGATTCTCCCCCTCTACTCTGCTCCTGTGAGACCCCCTCCTGCAGTACTGTGTCCCACCCTGGGGCCCTCAACATAAGAAGGATATCAACCAGTTGGAGCAAGTCCAGAGGAGGCCATGAAGATGCTCAGAGGGCTGGAGCACCTCTGCTATGGGGACAGGCTGAGAGAGTTGGGCTTGTTCAGCCTGGAGAAGGCTCTGGGGAGACCGTATTGTGGCCTTTCAGTACTCAAAGGGGGATTACAAGAAAGGTGGGGACATACTTTTCAGCAGGGCCTGTTGAGAGAGGACAAGTGGCAATGATTTTAAACTAAAAAAGCGTAGATTGAGACTAGATACAGAGAAGAAATTTTTTACGGTGGGTGTGGTGAAACACTGGAACAGGATGCCCAGAGAGGTGGTAGATGCCCCACTGCTGTAAACGTTCAAGGTCAGGTTGGATGGGGGTCTGAGCAACCTGATCTAGTTGAAGATGATCCTGCTTATTGCAAGGCATCCCTTTCAACCCAAATTGTTCTAGGATTCTACTGCCTGCAGGCAGTGATGCTGTAAGACACTGAACATTTCCAAACATCCTTGCAAAGGGAAGCATCACACCCCAACCCAGAGCATAGGACAGAACCATACATTTTTGCCCAGAGACGACTAGGACAGACCCAGATGTGTTATCTCAGCCAGTGTGCACACTTGGGACTGGAGTTACCACAGCATACTGGGGTCTGGAGACCAGTAGGCATACTGCCCCACATCAGTGGGACAGCAAACAGCGAACACCAGGAGTTTTCCTAAGCTCTCCACAGGCAGAGCCTCTTACATCATGACTGAAAGTCTGGGCAAGGAGACACCTTCATACACAGATGCTTATGCATGATCTGAGAAGAACCAGTTGAGATCTGTGGCCTTTGCTACACTAAGGGTCAGATTTGGTCACAAGACCCTCTTGCTTTCAGACCTGAGAAACTATGATTTCTGTTTAAGGATTGTCACCAACAAATTCTACACATCTACAACACAAGTCATGCAAAGTAAGATTCCAAACGATTTTTTTGGATGAGGTGTCTACATTTTTCCCTGTTTATTGCTCATATAAATAAATCAGGTATTAGAACCAAGCAGTCATAGCAGAGCAATGAACAGCGAAGCATGCAGGAGGTTTCTGTGGTGCTATTAATTCAATATGGAAATGTATTATTGAATATTGGACACTTATTTTTTATAATGATGGAAATGGGCTTTAAAAGAATCTTCACAGTCTGAAATATCTGAAAGAAGCCAGCTATGATTAGAGCTCAGATTAGCACACCTTTCAACTTCTTGCAGCAAGTGAAAACAACTTCCCTTAACTCACCTCCATCATTTAAATAATACGAGCAGCAAACAAAAAAGAAGCAAACCCTAAATTCTCCTGAGTTACAAGGTTCCAGTTATGTACTTTAATTCACATAGAGCAAAGTACCTACCTAGGTCTGCATAGTTAGACTTGCAAAATTGCTTGCGTCCACAGAAGTACAGCTCAAAGTCAGGTTCATTTGACCTGCGTAAAGTGTATCCATTTTCAAGAGCAGCAAAGGCGTCACAAGTATAGCGGTAGGTGATGAAACCATAGCTGTCTCTGCAATTGAAAAATACAGTTGTGAACAAAAGCTGGGAAGAGTTAACGCACATTAGTGTAACCCCTTCCTGAAAACAAGAACTTGCAGGAGATCCAGCAGTGGAAATGCCAGAAGTACTGCATCCATTTATCAGCATGATTGTCCTGTCATGCAGCTAAATACTTATTTCTGGGACAGGAAATCTCAACTAGCAAGATTAATAAATAAGGATGAAAGAAAATAAATAAGGTTTTGAACTCAGCATGTCATCTGTCACAGCACTTACACTGGTAACTCCCATACCAGTAATCTTACTGCCGTAATTTTTTACATACGACAGCTCTCAAACAAGAAGTAATCTTAAAAGTTCTTACCCATCATCCCGCAAATTTACTGTGCACTCCTCAATTTCACCAAAAACTTCAAACCGGTCCCTCAGTTCTGTTCGGGTTGTGTCAGGTCTGATTTTACCCAGATAAATCACACGACGTTCTTCCTGTTGAGAAACAGCAACAGGGAAGGGGTATTTTTAACAAATGTGTAATAGAGATGAACCTCTACGCATATGCATGCAAATCCAGACACATGGATGTGCAGAGGATGCATAATCTTAGTAATAGTCTCTTGTGGAAGACCTACTGCATCTTGCTGGTAAGTGAAAGAGTTCTCTCCTGGAAAGCGTCTGAGGTATTTAAATGACACTACATCTGTCAGTGCTCCTGGAAGGATCACTGCTTGCTGTCACTGGCCGGCCATACACCGACATACAGAGCTCCTTTTGTATCCTATCGCACCTTCCTCCCTTACATCCTCTCTACCGCTTACCCTCCAAGACTGTCATCTCTTCCAAACCAGCAGCTCCCTTTCTCTTGCCATCTTTACGATACTGGGAAAAACTCATTTTGGTTGTGGATTAATATAAAGTTAACACAAATATAAAGTAACACAATAATTGCATAAATGTACCACGAACATAACAAAATGTATTACAAACATGACATTATGAACTCTGATAACTCAATAGCTGATTCATCCTGAAATCAGCTGTTCCACCATAATCTACACCTTAAAATAGAGGGCAAACTGTTAGGGGTCCCAAGGATAACTTTGATTAAAATAAACATTTCTGGGGAGATGGCAGAACAATAAAATTTATCCTGTGGTCACCACTACCTTTTGGTTTCTTTGGACAAAAAACCTAACTGAAGACCCTGATTTTTACAGGCTAGGGTGTCATTTGCATGTTCCATCAACGCTTGGAGCAAAGCATCAAGGATACTTTTAAAACAATCAAGTCATGGTCATATCCTTCTCTCCTGAGTGAAAATGCTCAGCAGAATGACAGAAGGACTAGGAAAACCTTAGAGGCATTTTATGAATTTTTGAATGAACACTTTATTAAGGGTAGAGCCATTTAGTGAACTGCAAGCAACGTTGAAGGCAAAAAGAGATCTTCAAAACACTGATCTTAAGGTAATTAGGGCAAAGAAGCAGCAGCTACACATGGCTTGGGTGCTCAGCCTTCCTGTCTCAGATTGCCTGAAGAACCCTGGCACTACCAGCCCTACTGCTCATCCCTTACACACCCGCACATTTGTCCCATAAATCCCCCACCACCACCACATTCCCAGCTGGTGTAAATCTGTCAGTCAGCAGAGCAATGTCAGTTTAAACCATTAGCTTTGGCACCGGAGACTTGCGCAGAATTTAGGTGCCGAATGCCGAAGGAGCTATACTGACTGCTGGGAATTCATGACTACTGTAACCTGGAGGTGCCTAAAGGCTAATGGTACCTCCACTGCGATGCAAAAGGCTCAAGGGACCTAAATATAGACTTGCATTCTTGCTCAGAAACATCCTAGCCTGAAGAGACAGGTAGCTTACAGTGCTACAATTCAGATATAGCACAAAATCTATCTTTTCCATGAGTCCCCACAGAGGCATAAGGCACTAATCATTCTTGCACCACGGACAGTAGGATTGAGATCAGACCAAAACACATGTATAAACAGAAATGATCCTGATGCCTGTTCTTTACTTGTTTGAGCACTCATTTGAGATAAAGGGACCATCAGAACTCTCAGTTATGGTGGCACAAAGTCTTTGCTCCCTGTTCCCAGAAGAGCAATCTGCTCCCAGGAACCGTTTAATGCAAAATAAATAAACAATTCCTGCAGCAGGAAGCTGAAACTAACAGATCTGCCTCCCAACAGAAACTCCTCTCACTAGCCCACCCAGTCAACTATTTTTGCTGAATCTTGGCCTCACAAATTGCAGAGGCTGAGATCCAGTTCATTGAAGCTCCTGAGAAAGGAAAGTGAGTTTAAAGCTTCAGAAAACAGATCCAAGAATCAAACACTCCTACCCAAAAGCCCTACCCACTAAATTACGGCACAAGAAGTGACCACTGGAACCACCTAGGTCCTTGATAGCTCCCTGGTCAGCCCAGATGGCGTCCCTTGTTGCTCTTCCAAAGTATGTATATGCTCTCCTCAATCAGTGGGATCAGATAAGCATCTCATTTAGATGCCTGAAACTACTGCATCTTGATTATATAAGGAACTAAGGTGCCTGCCTTGGCAGTCCTCTATAACCCTGCTGGGACAGACACTTTCATTTTTAAATGCTATGTCTTCTGAAGTGCATGGTCCAAAAGCTGCCCTTGTTCTCTGCCACAGCAGTGCAGTTTGGAGAAGCTAGCATGGCTAAAAGAAAGACAAGTATGCTCACAGGTCGCCAGCAATTTAGGGAAGAGGAGTACTTTACAGGCAGCTGCTGCTTTTTATCTCTGTCTCTACTGTGTCCTGGTCCAGAGCCCTGACCCCCCTGACAGGGGTGTTTGAGTAGGGCTTCTGTGAACTAGGGACTGTAGAGTGCAAGCAACAGAAATCTGCAGTCCTTCCATTTTCCCCATTCTAATTCTGCTTACTTTCAGTATGGTTGGGTGCCATAAACTTCAAAACCAGGGAAATTTGCATATGCACAGTAATTACTTTTTCAGACTGTTTTACCAAATCAAGGATTTAACCGCACTGAAACACTTGATAAGAAACAATTCCATTGATACTTGCCATTGAACCTAAATGACTGACCAGATGGAGCAGAACATAACATAGCAGACTGTCTCATACACTTCAGCTGAGATAATACATCTCAACTGAAAAAACATAATGTTTCACTCACTGACATGGAGATTGTTATATTACAGTGTGATGGAAATAACTATTGCATGCTCTTCCATAAGTCTGTGTGCATGCCTGTGCAATTTTTCCTTCTTCTATTCCTCTAATAACCTTTATATCTCCAATATCTCTTTAAGACAAGTGTAATAAAACAAAACTGAACAATTAAAAAAAAAAAGCCTATTAAACTATCATTAAGGGAATAAGTTAAACCTGCAAAATCAAGGAAATTCAAATTTAAAGCTGAAATGGACCATATGTCCTCCAGTGTGCACACATGAGGAGAAGTGTTCAAGTATTTTTTTAAGGCAGAGGGCCATGATGGTATAAGATACTGCAGAACACAGGATTCATACAGCATGGTCTTTGTCTTGGTTAACTCTAGTTTATTTAAAGCAGCTATGAAGAGTGTATTTGTATTCACAGAGACACCTGCCTTTTATTCCCATCAATAATAAGAGCTACACAAGCCTAACAAGATTACAACATACCTCTAAATGTTAAAGACTTTTATTTTATAATAAGTTACATGCGTAAGTCCATAGGTGCATATTAAATATGCTTTTTACTGCCCTTGTCAGAGGAGATGATATATGACTTGGAAACCTACCGAATGGCAGAGAAAAGCTTTTGTTTTCAATTTCACGTGGGCAGAGGGAACCTGCAGGAAACTCCACAACATACTGTTCATATTTCCCTCCCAAAAGTGCAGATGATTTATTTTGCATCATAAGCTTTAAGTGTAGTTCACTGCTTCGACAGGTAAAAAAAAGATGAAAGAATAGTCCAGCCAACTCCCTCGGGACCAACATGGCTGTATTCTTTCAGTTTATCTAAAGCTCCCATCTTCATAACCTTGTTCTTTCTTCCTTGCAGTAAAAACATTTGAATAGGCAGAAAATCTCAGATTGAAAAGCAGTATTTTAAGTCTCAAATGAAGATACTATATCATTAGAATGCCAAAACTTGAGAAAACACAACCAGGATATACCTAACACATCTAGGGTCAGTATGGTGGCCAAAAAGCTGAACATGAGCCGGCAGTGTGCGCCGGCAGCCCAGAAAGCCAACCGTATCCTGGGCTGTATCCAGAGAAGTGTGGCCAGCAGGTCGAGGGAGGGGATTCTGCCCCTCTGCTCTGCTCTGGTGAGACCCCACCTGGAGTGCTGCGTCCGGCTGTGGAGCCCTCAATATCAGAAGGATATAGACCGGTTGGAACAAGTCCAGAGGAGGCCACGAAGATGATCAGAGGGCTGGAGCTCCTCTGCTATGGGGACAGGCTGAGAGAGTTGGGCTTGTTCAGCCTGGAGAAGAGAAGGCTCCGGGGAGACCTTATTGCACCTTCCAGTACCTGAAGGGGCTACAAGGAAGCTGGGGGGGACTTTTTACAAGGGTCTGTAGTGACAGGACAAGGGGTAACGGGTTTAAATTGAAAGCGGGGAGGTTTAGATTGGATATCAGGAAGAAGTTCTTCACGGAGAGGGTGGTGAGGCACTGGGACAGGTTGCCCAGAGAAGCTGTGGATGCCCCATCCCTGGAAGTGTTCAAGGCCAGGCTGGATGAGGCTTTGAGCAACCTGGTCTAGTGGAAGGAGTCCCTGCCCATGGCAGGGGGGTTGGAACTAGACGGTCTTTAAGGTGCCTTCCAACCCAAACCATTCTGTGATTCTATGATTCTAAAGTCATCATGCAAACGTTCACCGACACTAAGGAAACTTTTGTCTTGCAGGCTTCCTCCAAATCTTCATTTTGTTTTCCTTCCTCATTCTTAATCATTTATTTCACAAGGAACTAAAGTGCAGACCATTAGCTCTGTGTTTTCACGTGTTTTTCTGTACTAAGCTTCTTCACCCAACACTTGGTTGCTTTGCCTGCCCACGGGGCTGCTAAGCAGGGTCGGTGGGAACTGAAGGCAGCCACCCCAGAGGTGATACCGCATAGTCCTGCTGTCCCTGTTTTCCTTACCACTTTTTGCCTGCACATCTGTGGTGTAGTTCTCCAAGAGCCAGGTAATGCTTTATGTGAAGCTGAGAGAAGAAATCCAGGGGCATTTTAAAGCTGGGGTCTGCCATGGGTTTGCCAAAGGCTCTGCTGCTTCCTCCAGCATGGGCAGTTGGCTGGGTGCAAACCTCGTGCCTGAGCTGCCTTCCATGTCAACTGACTTCTCTTCCAGGAGAAAGCCATGAAGACTTTTATCCTTAGAGCTGGAGGCCAAACACCATTTTGAAAGTGCAATGGGTATGGTTGGACAGAGTTTTAAAAATAGAAATGCAATGGATGGAAAAAGCCATTAAAGCTTAAGGTTCAGATGTAATAATAATAAGAAAAAAAATTTCTTTAAATTCTGTATTAAAGAATAAGTATGGCTTGTGGGCAAGCATGAAGAGCAAAAGGAAGAATCATGAAGAAATGGAAGAAAAGAAAGAACATTGCTCAAAATTGTCAGGTGCTGCTGTGTGGCTAACTGAGGACTGACACAGTTCAGCCACATTCCATGGTGACTGCTAGAAAAATGATGGTGGGCCAGCAAAACTCAAGATTTAGGTAGTCCGTTTGATACATTTTCAGCAACCCATACAGCAAAGTTAGAGTGCCTGGGATCAAGGCCATCAAGAAGAGCAACGACAAAAAAATCCTAAGTAAATATACAAGGTGCATCAGATCCTTCATTAGTGAAAATGCACTCCATTTATAAGCTGACTCTGGTTTTAGACTTGAGAGAAGCCAAGCACTCATTTATGAAACCACCTTTCTCCTGCCTTCCTGTTGTAAGGCAATTTATTTTCTTTGAAACCATGTGTTTCTTTCCGCTGCAGTGGCCTCACAGTGCATTTATCTTACGTCTGTAAGCTCTCTGAGACAGGGACTCTTGATACTTGTCTCATGGAGGCTGTCAGCACTTAGAAATGAAAAGTACTAATGTTAATAGTCATTTTCTACTCAGGTATAAAAACTGATTTTGTTATACCTCCAGGCAGCAGCCAGCGCACGCAGTCGGTGAGCTGCAGGGAGGATGTGACCGGAAGTCAGTATCGTGGCCAGAGCGGCAGAGTAGCAGAGATCCAGAACCTCAGGGCTGATCATCAGACAGTTTAATCTCCCAGTCCTGGTACACCATGTGTGTGGGAACCACAAACTGTTGACTCCAGAACTGAAATGTGATCACTGTATTTCTGACACCATGCCTTGGAAAGTATGTGCCGCACAGTCTAATGAGCTGCTGGAGTAAAAGCCTGCATAACTCAGAAATTTCCTGGGCTGTATCAGAAGTAAAAAGGGTTCCTCAGTCTTCTTGGCAAATCACTGTGATCTACTTTGGTTGGGGGTTGGGTCCCAGTTTTTACAAAGACCTCAGTAGACTGTCCTGTCCCGCAGTTGCTCCTCCAGTTTCATGCTGAATGTGCCTACTGTGATCTGTTTAGCATTATAAAGTTAAGTAAGTCTTGGTGGCAGACCATCCTTACGTTCAGTGAGGAGCCATTCTAAAACAAAATGGGGACCCAGTAAAATACATCAAGTCAAGATCAAACTAAACTGTGCTAACATTTGCTCAGGTGAGGTTTAGATTGGATATTAGGAAAAATTTCTTCATGGAAAGGTTTAGCAGGCATTGGAACAGGCTGCCCAGGCAGGTGGCAGAGTCACCATACCTGGAGGTATTAAAGAGAGGTGTGGATGAGATGCTGAAGGACATGGTTTAGTGGTGGTATTAGCAGCGTTAGGTTAACGGTTGGATGTGATGATCTTAAAGGTCTTTTCCAACCTAAAGATTCTGTGATTCTATGATTCTCATTGTATATAGCTGTAAGTCTAGATAGGAATTCAGGAATCCATACAGGGAAATGCTAACCCAGGCTTCTAGGTGATCTGAAGCTCCTGCAATGAAGGTCTTGCATGGAGGACTGAGGGGGCAGCCATTTAAACACGCCTCCGCCACATAGCATGAGCACGGGCTTCAAAACCAGCCTCCTCAGCATTCGCCCGATATACCTTCACGTCTGCCAAAATACAAGCTGCCTGCCCAATCAGAGGGCATCACTGCACAAATGGTTTTGACAGATTAAAATATGTGCTTTTTTTCCTCATTTCTTTTTCCTGCGTTTCCCCACACGTGTGGTCATATAGAGACTAATTCTAGACATTGAACCAAAAATGCCTGATGGCTTTTAGCTCAGTCCTTCAGTTCCCTTTCCACTGTGCATCCTTTATAAGTTATAACTAACTCGGAGATCACAGTACGGTGCTTTTCATGAAGAAAAGCCACCTGCCCTGTGTAACACCTGAGGGATTCGTACTGCCCAATCTTTGGGCCACTCTTTTAACAGTATCTGGCGGTATGTGGCCATGAATCAGTGCTGGCAGCAAGAGAATGGGCTAGGAAGAAAATAAAAAAATCCCCAATGAAGAGAGCAAAGAAATCTAAATTTATGAGACTGTAGAAAGAGTTCAAGGAAAGAGAGAGGAGATTCTTGTGGCTGAACAATAAATGAGTTGAGTCCCTCAAGAAAGGAGTAACCCAGAAGAGACTCATAAGCCAAAAGAAGTAAGAAAAGGAGCAGAGAATGCTAGAAATAATACAAATTTTATCACTGGCTTCATGGTATCAGGACTTCTCTTTCTCTGCTGTCCCCTAACCCCTACTTCTTTGCACAGGGAATAAACTGGGATGATTCAAGACAGTAAAAGTGCTGGTAGACTTTGGGTAGTTTAGTATTTTTACATCTCCTACAGCTCTTACACAGGTGACTGCATTTTAAGTTTTTGCCATGTTCTGTTTAATGATATTTGGTTTTTTTTTACTTCAGATTTATTTATGTTTATTAATAAAAAAATTAATTCATGAAGTTAATTATAATGAAAATGCACACTTCGGAAAGAAAATAAATTCAACCCTGGTTTTGAAATGTCAAAATTTTTTAGCACAGGAACTTATGCAGCATATAAGGAGCTTTTAAGTTTCCTTTCTTTCCTTTTTTGCTTGTCTCTTGATTAGCTACTTGCCAAATATTTGTTTGTTTTAAACTAAATCAAAATTTCTACCTCCTCAGCAGGATTCATGTTTATTTATACCAGTAAGGTACAGTAATTGAGAAGTAGCATGACACACCCACGACAGAGGTCTACTTGAATCTCTAATTTGTGTTAGATCTAAGAGAGAACAGCCAGTGTAAGTTACGATTGCTGGAAGGTAGTGTTCATCTCTAAGCAGATGGAAGCCAGATATTTCAAAACTAACTGCAACAATTGACTTAAATATAGCCCTGTCTGAAGCCAAGCAAAATCATTCCATTGCCTTCACCGAGTTTCAGATCAGCACAGCAGAGCATGTTATAGCTCTAAATCTCACGCTTTACAAAATACACCTATCACCCACACTTTGTATATAGGGCTCCTGAAGCAGAGAAAAGTGAAGTGATTGGATGAAGCTCACGAAGAAAAACAGAAGCAGAGACAAAAATCAGAAAATAAAGGTGTCTGTTCTCTCCCAGAACTTCTTGCTGCTGTAGACTACACCAGTCTCTGTTGACCTCTACACACTCCCAGTTCTGTAGGTGTAAGTATTAGAAGAAATGCTGCCGAGTGTGTGACAAATCACCTGTTACGACAAAGTCTACTAAAGGCACTGGAAAAAGACCTGTTCATTTTGGTGAGCCCTGGACAGAGCACTAAGAACACTAATCTGGAAATGAAGATGAAGTGTCCCAGTCTGCACCAGTGCATTTAGGAGCCAGAGCACAGCCAGAGTAACAGTGAAGGTACAACTGGACGGAAGGAGCAGGACACAGAAAACCAAGCGGAAAATGTTAAGGTGAGCTACCAAATGGGCTTAGCAACAGGAGGAGTCCCGATTTACAGCAGGTCCCAATTCAATTTATACAAACCATCACGCGATTGCCAATGGGGAACTAAAAAGGGGCAAAAGCGTTCTGTCCGTTTAATAGCCATTCTTCTGTCCTACTGCTGCAACAGCCAAGAGAGTTGCTTGTCCCCACATGGGTATTTCCTTCGCCTCAGGTATGCCACTTGTTTCACACAGAACACTGATGAACAAAATAATTAAATAATACATATTCATTACGAAAGGGCCAGTGTTAAGTGACACTTTTAAATTGCATCATGTCTTCAGACTATTTATTTTGCTAAAAATAGCTTAAATATTAACCGTGTCATAGACAGGAAAAAAGGAAAATTAAACTCATGCCTCTGGATCCCAGTTTTAAATTCTGCTATCGGCACCCTCTGTACAGACAATTACAGCTACCAGGAAAAGTCCAGCGAGCAGTATGTGAGCTTACTCCTTATACCGGTTGTGTAAAAAACCAGAAATATAAAAAATAAACATTGATTATTTGCACTCTGGTAGATGACACATAGTATAAAATGCAGGCTCACTGACAGATCTGTATTAGAAATAGACTGGTTCACTTTTAATTGTCTGTTGTCCAGGATGAAACCTTTTTCTAGTAAGCCCTTTGGATCTGCTGACTGTGAAAAACTTAAGAGTTGCATAAAACCTGAAAAAATTAGTATTGTAACATCAAAACACAAACTGTTATGAAAAGACACATTTACCTAAAATTCAAAATACTAAGAAATACACGTAAGCAGCTTTTTGTATTTTGTTTTTTTCTTTTATAAAAAGGAAAGAAAATAAAGTCTGAGTTCTAGCTTTAGAAATCTATGAAAAGAACAGAAATCTATTTCAAAATGAAAGTTATCTTCACGGTGCTTACAATTGCTTTCTGCCTCTGTCGCTCCCTTTGTTTGGCCCTTTCAGATTCCCGTTTTTCATACTCTTTGCGGTATTCTTCCCTCTTCAGCTTTTCATGCTGATATTCCTCATAGCTGTCATATCTAGGAAACATAACTTAGTCATTAAATCAAGCACCTGCATGTAAAATGTAAAATTAGTAATACAATTTCTGGAATGCTTCATTATCTCTTGAGAACCAGCTGCCAAGCAAATGACACGCAGGCAAAACGCGGTACCTGGGTCTGCGACCGTACGGTGATCTGGATCGCGATCTTGCACGTAAGGGAGAACTTCTGTATGCTCGGTGTCTACAGTGGCTGGACTCATAATAGCAACAAGATCTGCAGGAAGAAACACATTCACCTCTGTCATTCAGTTTCAATCTACTGACACCATTTTCTACCTCTTCCCCAAACTTCCAAATTCTTCTAAGCTACCAGTGAGATTCTCCAGTGACAGTCTTTGACCTCTGAGTCAACTAAGGGGCCTCAAGTGATTTACCCCCCAGCCCTGCTGTAATGTTCCTTATTGAGGCTAACACAGAGCAGACAGCCAGCCACTGTCAACTTCATCTGATAGGGACTGCAGCTAGATTGGCAGCGGGCAGCTCGCAGATAATGGGAAAGGTTAGTTGTGTACATCTCTCACCAATTGCTCTGCTGCTGACCTGAGTGGCTCCACTCAGAAAGTGTAAACTTGGCAAATTTAAAGGAAAATGGCAACAAGTGTTTCTGTAGCAACCCCACAACCTTCAGAGTTAATCAGCCCAGGAGCAAACAGAACAAGTTGCACTGGATTTTGTTTTTTTTTTTTTTTCCCTTTAAGTTGCTTTATGTTTTTGCTGTTTGCCTTCTTATTTACTATGATGATGATACATGAATTTGCTGTACCGTACCTTGAAGAGGATCTACTACAGGGCGACCTTGATCTCGATCGGGAATATGGAGAACGGGAACAAGACCTGCGTTGAGGAAAGGACCTTGATCTAGAGCGTGTCCTTTGGGATCTTTGAGAAAATAAGGATTTGGGTGGAGACACTGAATCTCTGCATGGAGAGTTAAAAGAAGAGCAAGAAGGCGATACATCAAATAATGAATAGGCTTGTGTCCCATCCCATGGGTAGCATAGTTTATCACTTTCATCTTCACTGTCATCAAAGAGACCATCCATTGCTAGTCCTGAATTTATAAACATAGGTAGTTTGGAGAATTGTTCATTACTGTAATCACTGTCCCTTAGTTCTCTGGTCTTATCTGCTTCTTCATCAAAAACAGCTTGGCTGGGGTGACCAAAATGCTTATTCAGTTCAGCCCGAATTTCCTGGTCTTGGAGCTGTTTTCTGCTATTACCATGGGATCCCTGCTTACTTGTCTGTAAAGTCTCTTTCTTGAAATACTGGTCTTGTTCTAAAGAAGAACAAATCTGACACTGCCACCCAGGTGAAGAATCCTTAAATTCGAGTTGTCTGGAGTCCTGAAGTTCCTGGGATATTTTAATGTGTATTTCCGATTTTGAATTCACAGATTGACAGTAGTCATGGTCACCAAACAGCCGCAAACTGGGCCGTTTTGTCTTTCTCTCCTCATGTCCACTGGACAGTACTGTAGTCTTGCTGAGCTGTGCGTACAGCTCAGACTGTTCTGGACCCTTCTTGGTTGGGTTATTTCCTTGAGAACCGGAAGACTCACTATAGCGGGGCTTTTTTGAAGGTGGTACAACAGTCTTGCATGATGACTTCGGCTTAGGTGAAGTCCTAAAAGGATTATCCTGGTTGGCTTTATGAGGAGGGGTTGTAGGTGGAGTTAGGCCTAAGGGGAAAAAAAAAAGGAGGAACAGGGTATTTTTAAGCACATACACAGCATTTATGAAGGTGGCTCATGTGCTCCTTTAAAAACAGATACAAAGCAAGCCCTGTCCTATGTCGCTTTAATTTAACACTACTAATACTGGAATAAGAGTATTTAGGGTGCAAGAAACCAAAGAACTGGTAACAACAATAGCAGCAGTACTAATGCATTGTCATTAATCTTCAGCAGCATTTCTGTCCCTCCCCTTCCTCCATGACATCTGCCTCTTTCTCTGTAGATTTTGACAGAACAGATGAAGAGAGAAAACCCAGAAGACTTTTATGTTAAAAATCAAAAAGATTTTGATATAAAAATCTAAAGTCGAAAGACTGGCACTCCCCAAAATCTAAAGAAATTAGGAGACAAAAACCTGAATAAAAGCCAGCCCAAGAAAAATAAATGACTGCTACCAAAGGAATCTGGGTAGGATGCAGAACTTGGAGGCAAGGAAGTACAGCAAATCTACAACTCAACTGCAATGACTCTTTGTCTCCACAGTTCATTAACTTAGTAAACCATTGCTAATGTAGGTATAATACATTCTTGTAAGCATAACTAATACATTTTGCCTGAAATGTGGTTCTGCAGTTGAAACTCAGGTGAACAATAGGACAAATGCAACTGTAATGAACCACTGCATTTAGAACTAATCACAGAATGGTTTGGGTTGCAAGCGACCTTAAAGACCATCTACTTCCAACCCCCCTGCCATGGGCAGGGACACCTTCCACTACACCAGGTTGCTCAAAGCCACATCCAGCCTGGCCTTGGACACTTCCAGGGATGGGGCATCCACAGCTTCTCTGGGCAACCTTTTCCAGTGCCTCACCACCCTCTCCGTGAAGAATTTCTTCCGGATATCTAAACCTCACCGCTCTCAATTTAAACTCGTTCCCCCTTGTCCTGTCACTACAGGACCTTGTAAAAAGTCCCCCCCCAGCTTCCTTGTAGCCCCTTCAGGTACTGGAAGGGGCAATAAGGGCTCCCCGGAGCCTTCTCTTCTCCAGGCTGAACAAGCCCAACTCTCTCAGCCTGTCCCCATAGCAGAGGGGCTCCAGCCCTCGGAGCATCTTCATGGCCTCCTCTGGACTCACTCCAGCTAACTATTAATGAGAGTCATGAAGTGGGGAGTCGAAATGAAACAGGCAAGTATTCGAAGACTAAAGACACCACTGACTACCAGGATTGTTCACGCAATTGTAATAGGTTATATCGCTATGGGTAAAATTGCAGAAAGGACTACAGTCCATTCCAGTAAAACCTGGGAACTGAAGCAGCATCTTCCAATTATAAGCACAGAGTATAACTCTCAATATCTTCTGTAGAAATCATAGAATTTCTTCAGACTTTAGAAAAGGATAACCCAGGGCACCAGGGCTGAGCAACAACAAACTGCAGCCACTGTTCAGGAAATAATTAATCTTCAGGAAAGTACTTAGTATGTTACGTTTGAAAAATTTCCTTCCATCCCACTGACCCTAATCTAATTATAAGTATATATGCTTAAAATTGAACAAATTAGACCCAGATTAGGGAGTTCTGCTAGATAATCCAGACCATCCTTAAGGGCTCCAGAGTATGATGCTGCCCACGATTTCTTCTTCGAGCCCAAGCAATGAACTTTCCATGACTTCCTTAGCAAGAATGAAAAGAGACGTCAGACACACTTACGGGAAATGTGTATTTCAAACATGGCTATAGAGTTTTGTTTTGTATTTTTAACCACGCAACAGAGCTCAGCAGATCAATGCAAATGGAACATGTTTTATAGTGTTTTGCTGTAAAGAAGGAAAAGCGTCCATCAATGCACAGTGCTCCCTAAGGAGCATAAATGGAGACTGGGAGTCCCATTGCATTAGCTGCAATGAATTTGTTCCAGAAAGAAAGAAGATAGGAGTACCAGGGCGTGAATACTTGATGTGAGAGAAGCTGGATTTTGTCTGAATGTATTGGAAAAAATGGCTGTGAGTTACTCATGACTATGTGAAGACTGCCTAATGTCACAAGTTAGGGAAACTGAGGCAAAGATATTGACACCTAAAACCCTAGTTGCCTCAAATTTGAATTTAATAGTGAAAAAGTTTTGTGCAAAGTCATCACTGTTAAACTATTTCCCTTGAGTCCTCAATTTTTTCTTCCTTCCTGAAAATTCACTTGAGTCAGCAGTATGTATTTCACAACTTATCCACCTCCTCACTAACAAATACTCGTGTCAACCAGATGGATTTTTGGTAAAATGAAGAGAACAGTCCTCTTCAAAATTCTGCAGTAATAATTTCCAGGTCAAAACTTCAGACTCAAATTCAAGAAAGATTTGACTAAGCAAAGACTGTTTTCTAGAGAAAAAATTCAGAACTGTCACTTTTACTCAAGACATTATACAGTCCATGAGAATCTCTGGGGGTTAGTTACTGATTTTTTTGGATGTTGTTTTAAACCATGAATGAAGCAGAAATACAACCACTCCACAACGTACATTCATATTTAAGAACTTCAGGCAAAGAAATCCCAGAGATAATCCAATATTCAAAATAAAATATTGTTTCCATTTCCATTCCTTTAAAGCTAGCCTCAACAGGAAGCAAACTAAACACAGAGACAACGATTTCCAGGGCCTGACAAGGAGTCCAACAATCTTTAGAGGAGGGGAAAAAAAAACCCTACAAAAAAACCCCTTGCAAAAGTACAGACTGAGCTAAATTTACTGGCACTTCTCTTGCTGGCAGAACTGTGTTGGGGACAGCCTAAGAAAGGGCTTCCTCGTGGCATTTTGGCTTTTTTCCTGGTTTCCAGCAGAAGCAGGAAGCGCACAGGCAAGTAGACACAGATTAAAGTTGGAAAACGTTCATTTAAGTTTTGAACAAGCCTCCATCGGGGGATGGAGGAGGGAGCAAAGTTTTGAATTCCTGTCACCGCCACGGAGTCTACCTTCAGTGTGTCCCACAACCAATCTCCAAACTGTGAACTTGGAGAAAACCAGCTGGCTGCACACTTGCTCATCTTCACACTAATCCCTGGCAATCTTCACCAAGGGCCGTGATCCGACACCAATGGCATTACAATATTCTATAAGCATTGGATTATTTCATACGCGCCAATTTCTCCGCCAATGTGTACATTTTAGCGTTGACAGTACAAGGTATATTCTGTGCTCTCTCTTGAACTTAGCAGGTTTTGACAGATTTATGGAAGGACAGATGGCCATTACGGGCTGAAGGCTGACAAGAGGCAGTTCAGAGCATTGTTAACACACTTGCACAAACTCTCAGCAGTGCAGCGCTGTGCAGAATGTAATTCAGACTATAGCTTTTTTATTGCTGCCTATTTTCTTTTGTCAAAAGAGCCTGCTGTGCACAGCAACAAATGGCTGCCATTACCCAGAATGTAATGGGTGTCAGACAAATCACGTAACACAAACAATCAAGAGTATGTAGGTCATATTTCAACAGAGCACAACCTTAGCAATATTTATGATTACTGCATTGAAATGTGCTCTATAATAAACAAGTACCTCTACATCACTCACACTTATGTACTTCTGCACAGCAAATCTGTTAGAAGTGGTACACACTCTACAATCATCCCCCTTAAACAGTCTTTTCTCTTTTTAAAGTAAAAGACAAGTATTTTTTTTCATGACATGCTATAAAACCATTTTCTTTGCAGGGACTTTTCTTTAATTGAATGGCTTCGGTAAATGGTACGTTTGCACTTTGCCTTGCTCTGTCTATACACTACGAACTCACTCGGTGCTCTTGTGCCTGGAAATAGCATACATCAATTTGCCAGCACTGCTGCCGAAGCAGCACCGTCCTCCCCGTGTCTCTGCAACAAAAGGTGTTCGCACGTGTGCCGACTCTGCCACCTTGGCAGAGCGACTTCTTTCAAGAAAGCCTCTGAGAGAGTGAAACTACTTTTGATACATTCCACAACTCCACTAAAAAATCCCCCTTAGTAACTCACTTAGCTCAGCGAGGTTGGTAAGAAGTCGTCAGGGGAGTGGCTTTGCATATAATGTGACATCTTGACTTTTTAGGACTGATTTGCAATGCTATTTACATAGTCACTGATCTTTCTAAAACTGTACTGTAGCTGTTGACATTTAAATGTTTGATGACGTTTGTTGTGCTTTGAGGGGGCTGAGAATTGGCGTCTTTCGGGGAACTCAGCTCTGGAACCTTTCTACATATGCAGTGGGCTTTTGAGAGGCACTGAAAACGAATTCTTTATACCTTTTAAATTTGAAAACGGATTGTCCAGGGAAACATTATTTAAGGCCACATAAAACACTGAACACAAGATAACAGCCCAATTCAGTAAAAGAATCAGAAGAGCTTTTGTGTGGCACAAGATTGCAAAAGCCAGGAAAACATAATAAAATTAAATAGCCATCATATAATAAAAAACTACATGCTTGTTGAATATTCAGTTTAATCCTGCTGTCAGTGCTGTAGAGAATAAACACAGATGCCTGAAAATATCAAATAATTTACTAGATTTTATTCCCTCTGGACAACTCTCTCCATCTCCTATCTCAATTTATCAGAAATCATTCTGAGGTCAAACAAGTTCTTACATAATAGATTTTAAGTATTTATTCTGACAGCTAAGAGGTAACACAGATCTAGAGGCAGGCAAATAGCAGGGTATAAGTATCCTTGAGGATGCTTATGAATTCCCAATCACTATTAAAGCTGATTGTGCTCATACAGCCTTTTCCGTCATCTTTTTGGAGAAATCAAATTTTGCACCCGTGAAAGACTGGTGAAGACTTTTATGGTCAGGTAACTTACAAGGATCTGTGTGCAAATGAGAGACTTTACACCCAGTCACCTGTTGTAGGTAAGAGGGTGGAAATAGCCTTCCAGTTACGGATTGAGCCTTAAGTGTGTAAACCCACTCCATGCGCTTACATGATGGCTCTGAGTATTTAGGAGTGAAGGTTTAGAAAGACACTGTGACAACAGAGAGAACTGCATTTCAAACGTTTAGGAGCCACACCACCTAACTTCTGCCATTTAGAAGTTCAGCAGAAAGTCTAAGACAATCACTGTGGAGCTCTGGATCACCACGAGAAGACAGCCACCTCCACAGGGTGGGTTATTCTCCCAGTCCCTGTGCTTGCAGGTTCGCACCTCAACCGGGCTGGCAGCAGGGATGAAACAGGTATTCCAGTGACACAGAAATGTCCCACGTTCCTGGAAGACATCAGAGAGGTTCAAGCCCGTGGCCTCTTGCCAAGGCTTTGGCAATGCCATGAGTGGTGTAAATGAAAGGAGGAGAACCTCTTCCGAGCCTCTTACTCAGAATGAGCCCCACCTTACACAGAAACGTCCTCCACTACTTTATCATGACCTAGGGCTCCCTCCATATCATGATGTTCTGGACCATTTTCCTTAGAGTAGCACTAGAAATCAGCGGCAGGAGTTGAGATTTTAGACAGCAATGAACTTATTCCTCTATCACAGACCACTTATTTAAAGTGCACTGAAAGAATTCTTACGTGTGGCTTGAAAACGCTTTAAAAAATATTTGTTCCTTTTAATTTGACAAAGCAATGTTTTGACAGTTTTAGGGAGGACATAGTTACATTCATGACTGCTAACAAATCCATTGTAAAGCAAGACATAGCATCGGCAAGAGAACGGTTTCAGTTTGACTTTAGATACATGAATCCAAAATGTGCGTGTGACGAAGATTGATGGCTCATGTGGGAAATGCTTTTATTTATTTATTTTTCCACTCTATAGTTAATTCATCAGTGAGGGAACCAATGTTGTTTTCAGCACAGAGATCAAGGGAGCTGCTATTTCTATTAAAATACTTTGTGCTTCGATAGTGTGAGCAGCACTGCTAATGGTCTTTTCAATTCGGCAGTGAGATCAAGGCAACTCCTATTTAAATTATAATAAATAGTGCTTGTACAGTGCAAGCTGCCCTATATAAGAACAATGAGCAATGCAGTTATCTGGATATAATTTGGAGTTGCCAGGGTCTCACTAAAGAACTCCAAGGTATTATTAATCACTACTGACACTATTTTTTTCCCCTTCTTTTTTTTTCCTGAAGTGGGTCCCAATTCTGCCATGATTTACTCACATAACCCTGTAAGTTCTTCAGTACTCGAGCTTGTTTCTGTTATGTACTTGTCTGCTTCCAGCACAAGCAGACACATGACACAAGACACTACTGCAATACAAATGAGTTCAAAAGTAAGACATTCACAACTACTCATCTTTTTATAGATTTATATATATATGAATATAAAAATAAAATCTACACGTATGTGAAGGCAGAGATTAATACAGCTACCAAGTGATGAAAATAAATCTCCTAAAACCTCCTCACCAGGCATTGTTAAGATCAGAGCAAGTGCAACATGGAGACCAACACCACCACGTACGCTGCTTGGTAACACTGCCCCAACTCCCTGGCCACACGCTCCACCAACTCTTATTCTTCCTGATTATCATCAGTCTATTTTCTAGCTAGACTCTATTTACTTCCAGAGGGGAAAACCCCCACGTATTCGCAGCACAATGTTCCTGTTCACATATTCATCCACTGGTGCTGAAGTACAGCTTCTGATGTACTTTTTTAATGTGCTATTCCTCCTGGTTGTGTTGCCTGAGACGACGACAGAGCTGTTTTCTTTCCTCCTCTGTACACAGCTGATGGAGCAGAATGAATCTGGTAATACCAAGACCATTCCCATTGCCATTATGGAGGCAATACTAGAGGACTATCCAGGGGTCAGACCAACTCCTGATGGGAAGAGCAGGCTGCTGACTTTCTGGCTGGGAGAAAACACTGCTCCCTTCAGTGATTTCAACGGCTGCTTGTACCGCTCTGCTGTGGTCACCTCATCTGCCCCTTGCAGTTGGCAGCGCTAAGCACTGACTTACCCGTGTGCTTACAAATGGGCACCCTCGTGCAGATTTGCTCTCCAGTAATGATAAAAGAGGCTTCTCCATGCTTCAGGCCTACTAACACTGGAAGGGGATTATCCTGCTGCACACAGTGAAAACCAAGTTTGTGTTGGTTTTGCAAAAAGAAGGTGCATGGGAAGGATGCTTCCTTTTGGCATGAGAGGAATGACCGCAGGGTTTCAGGACACAGCAAAGTGTGTGTGTTTTAATCCTGAACTAATGAAGACGTTTCTGAAAAAGTGAAATGATGGTTGTAGAGAGGAGAAAGCCCAAAGCACATGCACAAATCTAGTGCTTGGGCCTGCTCTTGTGTAAAGCTGCCATTGGATTTAGGGGCACCAAGCTGACTGATGGTACCTGGAGACATATTTTGCAATGCCCATCAAAACGCTAGACATCACATAAATTACAGTCCACCATTAGCCTGAGAAACACATTCCAAGTACATCTCTTACTTTTCAATACTACACAAATGAGAAAGAAAACTGTCTTGGCAATAGCTCAGGTGTTGCTCAACGTGTGCTCAGTTCTGGACACTTCAGGAAAACAGAGGCAAAACAGAGTTCAGAGGGAAGCAATAAACCAGATCTGAGTCTGAAGGAATTCACTTTAGTGGAAAGAAGAGCAGATGAATTAAATGAGTGCAATGGGTGATGCATGAACCAAAGCAGCACATAATAAAAAAATCTACAAATCTTCAAAAGGTACAAACACCAGGGATCTGGAAGGAGGAGGAGCATAAAGGGAGGCTGTGTGAAGTGTGCTAATGGAAGAAATAAAGAGAAGCAAGAGTATAAAATGAATACCAATTTAAAAAATTACCTCTAAGATATGGAATAGCTTTTCAGTGGTAGAGCAGAAGGCTGTTATTTGTGACATATTAATCTAGAATTGACAAAGCACTGAAACATGCAGTCACATACAGCCCTAGACCGGCCTGGAGACAGTCTGGATGACATAACTTTTCCATCTCTAACATCTATTACTCTGTGCTGTGGGGTTTCTATTTGAAAGATGGTGCTCAGCAGTACACAAATCTATGGGGAAATGAGGAAGTATAACAGATAAATGGTTTCATTCATATTTTCCCAGAAATTATGCTCTCTTGTGTAGGTTTGGAGCCATATTTTCACACACAGTCCTTCTCAGGCAACTGGATAAAAAGTCAATGCTAAGCTGCACTGAAGTTAATCTACTAGAGGCCTCTGTGAGATCTCGGTGTCCACGCGGTATATTAAAATGAACAAACACACACACAAGCCATGCTTAAAAGAAGAGCCAGCGCTCCCCATTTCTCACCTGCAGTTCCAGAGAGTTCCACACTTAAGGTTTGTTCAATAGTCTTGTTCTCAAATGGGGAACCCTTGGGATCACTGGAAGACAGGGCACATTTATAAAAACAAGCTGAAATGGAGTTGCTGTAGCCAAAATCTATTGAACCCCCCTCCCTTTTATAGATGTTTGCATTTTTTAGTACTTACTTTGGTGACTCGGGTGTCAATGGAAGTGATAAACTTGTTGGTTTGGCTAAAGGGGAAAAGAAAATGATTATGGGATATTAAAACACTCCATAACTTACACTAAAAGATTTATTGCTATTTTGTGACAGAATCCCATGTTAGTCAGTTAGGGCTGAGCTCCGATACTTCAACAGCCACTTCAGTCTACCTTAGGTAGATAAATAAGGAGACTCACCCTGATTCCTTATTACTGGTACCAAAAGGGCACCTAAATTTCAACAATGATTTACATCAATTACTGTAGCTCTGAAATACAGCATACAACCCAAATGCCAAGAACCTTTCAGAAGAAGAGTGGTACATGTTAAAAATCAATAAAGAACTCTACAGGATACACTGTGAAAATGCTATTTCTCATAGAGTTAATTTAGACTACAGTTCACGTTTTATTTGGAAACAGCAGCAGCAGAATAACTACGAAGTAACAGAACGTTATGAATATTCAGTTAATTTTACTTCTACAATATACAATTTTATATATAACACTGAGAATAGGTTGTTTCTGTGAGGCCAGAGTCCAACCCGTTATAGTCCAAATTTCTGCAAATTATCCTGCAAACTATGACAAACCATGGACATAGTCACAGATGGTTAAAAATGGGGTTGAAGCTCTCAGCACTACAATCCCAACATACGCAAAACCCAAAGCTCTAGCTATAAAAATACAAGTCTTTGTAGCTTTTATTTGTGCAAACTTGTATTTTCCCAAAGCAAGCCAAGAACAAGGATACTGTAATACAACGAAGATTCCTTTAATTGCCAGTAAAATGTTTAAAAATTAAAAATAATATTACTTGCAAATTTTACTTTTCAGAAGTTAGATTGATGTTTAAACACAGAGAGCATTGTACCAAGAACAACAGCAGGGGATCTCTTCTGCAAATTAATTACTTAAGACAAAATGTTCCCCTTGAACACTCCTGCACTGCAGATCTTTTGTCCAGAGTGTCACTACTGCATATTTCGTATTCATTCCAGGCTTGGAGCTCCCATCAACATTAAAGGATTTTATATGCAAATTGATTACTTTTAGAAGCTCTAGAGCATTCCTGAAGTAACACTACATTTTTTTTTTTAAATTAACTCAATTCTCAAGAGCTGCATATTGTTTCTTCTCCTCCTCATACGAAAGTTAGAGATGGAAGCTCAGGTGTTCACCTCGAGTTCACCTTCCTCTGAAGTCACCGCCGGAGTGAGGAGATGCACCTCGACAAGTTATTTGTCTGGTCCAGCACTGCCACTGATTTGTGCACAGAACTAGGTGTGGCAAGACTGAATGTAACCTGACACATCTGTGCGTGTATTTTCTATACATCTAGGAATACTGTTTGCCAGTGGCTACCTAGAGCTGAAACTGGCTTTAAAAACCAGACCTTAGAGTAAGGCTCTGGAATAAAGTTTTATACAAAGTCTTCCACTATTTTTTTGAGGGTAAAAATCTACATACTTTTACCCAGTTTAGACTTTCTAACAAAGTTGAATGTGTAAAAGCTATTTAAGCCTCTAAAAAGTCTCATTCTAGCTCTCAATAGTCCCACAGAATAGTCCCACATCAGAAGATACATATATATAAAACTCTGAAGCACAGTGCAAATCTGTCAGAGGTGGGCACAGAACCAATGCATTCTCTCATACACGTATGTATAAATTTTAAGCAGATATCACTGAGCTCTCCCACTGAGAAATTCTCATACCAAAACACCCATCAGTTTTGTTATTGCTAGTCAAGGGCTTGACCAAACAGTATTCCTGCAAAGGGTTCGTCCCCACACACAGCTATTGATAGTGTAAATATTTAGCCAAGACACTATCATTTTCCATGGAGCCTGTTTATCAGAGTTTCAAGGTCTACTGTTGGTGTGCTTTTTTCTTATTAAAAAGGGTTCATATGAAGTTGCTTGTCCCTGTAAATTGAAAACATTCAGGTTCAAAAGAACTAAGTTTCCTCATGGGCAAATTTCAATGCAAAACCACAGATGATCTTTGGCATGAATGGGTTTGTGGACAGTCCCGTGGGTCTGCAATATGTTTGCAACAGTAACCCTAAAGGAAAATACTGTTTGACTTATCCTTTGTGAGCTTTCCCTAACTGTGAAAGAAATATCAGATCCTGATTATTTTTTAAAACAGAAGGAGCCCATTTTCTTGTACTTTTGATTAAATGTATGAACAAATGACTGCAGGTTTGCAAATACCAGTTAAATTTGCAAGGTCGATTCTGCCTGAATTGACTGTCCAAGCTGAAAGCATTATATTCTTGTATTTGTATTATATGCAAATCCATTGATATTGAAGTCATATATTGGTGTATGAGGCAAATTTGATGAAAAAACCCAGCATTTCAGAAGCCTGTAAATTAAACTGCAGGAATTAAAGGAGAGAGTAATTTCTTTCTGCCTGCAATTTCACCTGCAGTACCACCCAAGTCACAGTCATCTGTTAAACACTGCTCAGTTAGCTCTATGTCCCTTCGGACTTCACTGCTCCCTCCTTGCTGTTTCCACAACCCAACGAGCCCTGCTTCTTTGCACTGATTTTACACAATTGCCTCGGCTGGGGAAAGAATGCAGCTCTGATCTCAACAGGAAGATTTTATTACCCGCATTTATGTGTGTGTGCGCACACATCTATGTTTGTGTATTACATACAGGTGCATATAGGATGTTACACATGATAGACCTTATCACGTACCACCTTAACACCTGGCAGTGCTAATAAAGCCCCCTGTAACTTATACATCACAGTAAGAGACCCAGGTATTACACGTACAGTTCAGTCTGGGTTTTGCTGTGAAGCAGACTGCTGAAGCCATCCAGAAGGAGTGGCAGTTGGCATCCAAGAAGCTCTAGGGGCAGTTGGATTTCTTTCTTACAAGAAACACTGTTCAGAGAATGTCAGACCTTAACAGGGAAAACTACACTGAGGATGTCAGAACGTAAAGCTGTGAGAAGGGAAGATTATTTTTATTAAGTTTGCTTATACTTCCTGAAGAAGAGTGAAAAAATAAATTTTGATGGGGGCTGAAAATGCAAGGAGCGGGGAGGGGAAAAGAAGAAAAAAAACATATACAGCTTACAATTTAAAAATACCAGAACAACACATTTAGGGACATGTCCTGATCCATGTTGCAGCCAGATACCTTCCACTGACTTCAGTGGAGTCATCCAGGACTGGCATTGATGTGACTGAGATAGGCACCCGGCCGTGGAGGTGCCAGGCCAGTATAAACATAGATGTATTTTAAAGTAACAGTAACTTTAAAAAAACCTTCCAATGGGCTCATAAGCTTTTACAGCCTTCCTTTATCTTGGGAAAACAGGCAGGGGAAGGAGGGGGGAGAAAGCAAGGATGGGGCTTGAAGTTCTTACATGTCTGTCATAGGATGGTTTGGGTTAGAAGGGACCTAAAGATCATCTAGAAGCTGCTTGTAATATAAACCAGTTCCTGATGCATTGGGGGATACTAAAATGTCAACGCAAGTGCTTAGTTTGGGCCATAAAGAATCTAAAAAGAGAGAGAAAGATCAGGATGGCACCTAAACTTTCAACTATTTACAAAATAAAATTACAAACCGGCATTCCAGCTTTAGCAG